CCCCGAGTTGCATGTGAGCGGTCAATTTAACAAAGCGCAAATGGCCGGACAGCTGGTGGGGCTGGTAGGGCACAGAGCCTTCCCCAAGGGGTTGTACATATCCCCCACCCACACCACATAGTCCTTAGCCCATACTATGGCCCATCTCTGGGTCGGTGATGGCGATAAGAAGCTGCTGTTGTTATGGTGGCTCCCCTTTGTTTGTCTTTGGCCTCCGCAAGATGTTGTCCAGAGTGGTGGCAGGGGGCTTGCCAAGAATGGTGGCAGGGGGTTGTGGCTGGGGATGGGGAAGTGACAGGAGGCTGTACAGGGGATGGGATTGTGGCATTCATTCTTTTGGCATTTTTTTATTATGACTATCAACGTTTATGGCGGCCAGGATGTGGATGGAAAGTGGGTGTGGGTGTCTCCCCTGAGGATTTGTTTAGCTTGTGCTGTGCGGCTTTATTATTTCATCATTATAACATTTCTTTTATATGTATGTATTTATTTTGTATACCCCGTAGTCGGATCCAAGATGGATGTGAGAGGCAGACGGAAGCTATGGAGCTATGTTCTTTTAAACTTCTGTCTCTCGTTGTATATCCATATGACTATATTAAATGTTTTCCCTGTCACCTTTTGCAATTTGAAGGAAAGTTTTGTAAAATATTACCCATTTAGTGGGCATCTCAGGGTCGCATGGGCCCTGTAACATGGTTCTTTCTTCTTATACATATATGTACGTTTGTGGGCTATAGAAGTTCCTTCCACTTCCACCACACCCACTTTCTGGGCAGCACTTTAAAGTGCCCTGAACTTGATTAATGAATGGCAACGCTCTAAAGTATGCTACGGCATGCACTCACACACTCTTGCAAAAAAGAAGCAGCCACCCACACACATTCACTCGACATGTCAACGACACGAGAAAAAGAGGGAAGTCGCGAGTGAGTTCTGAGCCCCAGTGCCAGTACCAGTCCCAGTCCCAGTCCCAGTCCCGACATGGCTTAAAAATTGTTTGCCAAGCGAAGCACAAATTGAAATTGGCTCACAACTTGGCAGCTAATTTAATATTTTCCCTCTGAGAAGAAGAGACCCGACTCCGACCCCGACCCCGGCCCCCATGTGTGTGTTATGCTTATAATTGTCACAGACACGAGCATTCAAGAACACATTTCTGGAAAATGTTTATCCGGAAAGGCATAAACAGGGGTGGTGAGGCAGAACAGAGCACAAAACAATTTCAAGTTCCTTTGCAGTAACAGGATTTCCTTTTTTTTGTTGCCATTCAAAAGCAGCATAATCCTTACAGGAACCCGGAAGTTCTGGCACCAACAAAAAAAAAAAAAAGTGTATAATATAGAAATGAAATTATCAGACATTGAGATGAAAGAACCTCTCAACATACGAGCACATACGACATAAACAGATGTAGAAAAAGCTTAAATATTTTATGCTCTTCAAATTAATTTGAACTATGAAAATTAGTTGGAGAATATAATTGTAGACTAACTAAATTAAATAAAAGTTTCCAAATCTCAAGGAAAACTTTATTTTGTATATGCCGAAAAGTATGCAATGGAAAATTGCCGTTCTTTCAAGGAATTCGCTAGAGCATGATATGTGCTTTTCGTTGCATACTTTTTGCCCGCTTATAAAAAGTTTTGACTAAATGGCGAATATCTAAGGAAGAAGTGGTAAACAAAAAAAAAACAAAAACTGAGGAAAATTCTTAGTCCTAGAAAAATAATAATTAAGTATATAATTTCCAATTGCTCAAGCAAACAAAGTCCACAGTAGGTTGTCTTCCTTTTTGTGGCTTAATGGACACACAAGTACTACTTCCCTAACTCGATCTGTTCTGTTTCATATGTATATAAACATCTTAAATGGTGTCTTTCCGCTCTCCGAAATCCCGCTTTCCAATCAATAACTATCTTCAATCCATTAACCATCTCTTCCAAGTATATTTCCTTTCGTTGCCTCACATTTAAATCGAATTTCCATCCATTTCTTGCCATTTGATTAATAAAATAATACATAATTAAATATTAGAATTTCCATTGCATAACCTCCCTCAATTTGAGTACCTTCGAAGTCATTTCATATCAATTTGTTGACTGCCTTTCACCCCAGCACAGCGCCTCTGCTATTAGGGAAAACTTGTGGGGCAGAAAACTTTTTGCATGTCCGTTTTAATAAATTGGTTTATGATTGCCTTTCGATAAACTTTGCTCAAGTGAAATGCTAATACGAGCACATCGACCAACTTTAAACGGTTTTCCAACCGAGAGGATACCTGGCCTCAACCAACCCCCAAAGTAGCCACCATCCTGCCATCCAATCAGCACATCATCCACACTCTTCGAACACCGAACCCACGAATTTGTATCTTGTGGAAAAGATGGCGCCGCCCGCCGTTTAGCTTCCTGGCAGCAACAATTTTTATGGCTTCCTGGTGTGCAGCGCTTAAATAGATACAAGATATATATCTCACACACACACCACACACATGGCACATTGTAGATACATATGTACGAGCATATCCACACCTTGTTGGTAATTTAAATTGCGCCTGACTCGGATTCGGATTCCGATTCCGATTCACGGCTGGCTGCACCATAATTTGCTGTAATTGAATTTAAATGATTTTTTCCCCAGCAGAATCGTTGTCGTTTTCCCCTTGGCATTTTGCAAATCACTTTTATTTTATTATTTATATACATATGTGTATTTTTATGGTAGGGAATCAATTGAAAGAAGGGCTTTGCTCTAATAAAGAATGATTGAGGTGATGGGAAACGGATAGGAATGATAGAATACGGATTTTCTGATAGATCTAAGCACATTCCTATAGAAAAGAAAACCTTAGAAAACAAATCGCTCATTCCATGCCTTTCAGTGTTCATACATTTGTTTTTATCGGTCGATTCTTTTGTACTGACATGTGCATTCAAGCCACAGTTTCATTATAGCACTCATCATTCCTTAATACAGTGGTCTGATCTCTCTCTCTGACTCCTTTTGAGCCTCTGAAACTCTATGGAAATTACGCATACGCCGCATGGGCATCCTCTGCCATCTCCATCGATGGGGCATACAACCGAAACGAAACGAAACGAACCTGCGCCAGACTGATGGCTTATTTTCGATTTGTGCAACAAATGAAGTGAGAAATTATTATTATTATTATTTATATTTTTATTACGGATGCCTGCCATAACCAAATCGAATGGCAGGCAGTCCACTCTTCCCGCTCCCCATTCACCCCGCCTCCGCCGGTGCGTCGGCGAATCACGTATTCACAAAAGCAAACAAACGCCGAAGCACGCATAAATAAACAGGCAGTGGAGCAGTGGAGCTGGGGCAGGGGAAGGAAGAGAATTATGGGAAAAGTAAGGAAAAGCCAAAGGGAAAAACCACAACAGAAGAAACAGTGAAGCAGCAGCGACACAAAGTACATACAGCATTTTTCGGTGGTCTCTCGTCCATCAGTCACATCATTAAAATCGAGCACTGAGTAGTCCCGGCTGCCGCCTAATTCGAATCCTTGCCGCAAGATGTGCTGAAATGTGACGTACGGGGCATGGGGCAGGAGTGCGATTGGGAGTGGAATTGGGGAGTAGCACCCGGCGGCGGCACACACACACACACGCACAAGGAGAGAGAGACATAGAGAGAAAGGACAACAATTCTCTGGAGGCATTCATCAATATGCCAAACATGTTTTGTTATCATCAAATGGAAAATGCTTCATTTTCACGTACGCCAACGCAGAGGAGCAGCAACAGGACCCACAGGAAGAGACAGGGATCCCAGGGATCTCAGCCTGACAGACAGACAGCACCAGCCCAGCCACTGACAGTGAAATGGACAGAAAGACAGACAGACAGACAGACAGAAAGTTGATGGCCTCAAGGCAGATGGCGGATGCCAGAGATGAGTACAAGGCAGACAGATAGACAGACAGACGACAGAGAGCGTGTTACCGTTGAGAATTCTCGCAGGTAAAACCCAGCGCCTTGCGGCTTGCGGCCTGGCTGTAGCATCTGTCGATTGCTGCCCCATTTCGCGGCGCTTAAACCACCAAAAAACTAAACGAGAAGCTCGACGAAGCGACGAACGGAACATATAAATTGATTACCAAGACATTTCACGACAAATTCGCCATGTAACAACAATGACAGCCCCAGTCCCCCCAATGGAATCTCTACCCAAAATCGAGAGAATGCTTATCGAAGGAACCCATAGACAACAGTTGCCGGAAGCAATATGTGGAGCTGTGGCAGTGGCAGTAGCAATGGCAATAGCACAATAGATGCCGAAATCTCTGTAAGCAAAACAGTTGCTCCATCCAGCCATCCAGAAACCTGGGGCCCAAAATCAAATGCGACAACTGTTGAGCCCAGCCAGGGACTCGATTTCTCCAGCCTGAATGAAAGTGTGCTACACAGATAGCTCTAGAAAGAGCTGTAGTTGAAAGAATAACTAATCTGCAGAAATATTCCGCAAAAAGAGGAGATATTATAGATCTAAATAGCTCGTAAAAAGATTTGTGTTCCTCAAAAACCCAAGAACTATCACTGATTGACTTCAAGAATAATTAAACATTTAAAGTACTCAATCAATCTCCATTCAAATCATTCGAATACTCAACAAAGTTCAGTACTCAATGAAGAAGGAGGTACTCTATCTACAGGCACTATCTGAAAAACTAAATTTAAACTACAGCAATCGAATACAATCGTTCTTTCAAGAATAAGATAACATTCACAGCCACACAAATCGCAGATTGAAGAAAAAGTAGTGCCACGTGGATGCCTTCTAATGAAAGGTAGACTGATACTAGTAGTAATGGTAGTGTTCTGTAGATGGTCTGAATATTTCATCGAAAATTAATCTTGGAAAGATATAGAAATACTTCTTAAGTACTTCCTGCTGCCCTAAGTATTTGTGAATCAGTCTTCCATTCATGCCTACAATTCCATTGAACAATGAAGACAAAAATCGAACATACATATTATGTAATTCTCAAATTTTGCTGAATAGCTCTTTAATTTAAAAGGCTTCATTGGGGCTTGTTTCCTTTTACCAGCTATTCACATCGTACCACTCGGAGGGGGAGCAGAGGTTACCGAACTCTCCATTGGTGCCGGAACCGCAGCCCTGTGCGCCCCAGCCGCAGGTGGAGTAGATCTGTCTGCCGATCATGTTGGTGGTGGCATAGTTGCAGGCGACCAGGACCTGGTTCCAACCATCGCGACGGTAATTGGAGGCGGCACAGCCCACACGGGTATTCCTCTCCGACATCATCACCGTGAAGTGACCAATGGCCCTGCGAAGAAAAAGACGGCTTAGTTGGAGGACTATCCAAAAGGAGTATCCACTGAAGACTTACGGTCCGGAGTAGCCACTGGGGTAGCCACCTTCGATGATGCCGCTGTTGGAGTTGTGCACCTCATCGAACCACATCTGGACGCTGTTGTCGAAAACGGTGCCCAAGTCGGGCAAATCGCCGGAGTAGGCCAGCCAGGCGAGATTCTGGCCAGAGTACTTGAAGGCATCGGTGTTGTGGCAGCCGTCGTGCCTCATCTCGCACTGGCGGACATTCAGGGAGGCCAGGTAGGCCAGCTCGTCGTCCCACTCCATGGTGGCCATGCGGCAGGCGGCGTTATGGTTGGGATCGTATCCACCAGCAATGTAGTTCCTCTTGTCGTTGTGCGAGTGGACAAAGACCCACTTGTAGTCATCGTTGATGTCGATCAGCTGCGCATCCCCGGGACAGGCGCTGTCCCACCAGTTGCTGTGACCGCAGGCGATATGCGATCCCCCATTGCAGATGTCCCACGAGCAGTAGTCCGTGCCCTGGGCCAGACCCACGGCCAATGCGAGGAGAGCGAATAGAGCGAACTTCATGGCGATTTTAAGTACGAAAAAGTACTATGAAGTCGGATGTCTGAGCACAGTGCTTATATATGGAATTACAGAAGGCTTATCGCAAGAGTGCAGTTGCAATCGAACCATAAATCATCTCTCCCATTTAGTGGGGCTCTCTACGCGTAGACTCGTATAATCTAATCAATCGATTTACGATTGCCAATTCTCGATTTTTAGCCAAAAGTGAGAGAACATCACCTCACCAGACACAGAGCGGTCCGGGGATCCCTTATCTTGGCAGATTGATGGTTAGTTTATGGGGTACTTCCCCTATTCAGAGTTCTTTGAGGAAGTGTACTGCGATATCATTAACCTTTTTTAAAATTTACAAGTTATTATTGATTTCTTAATCAAAGAATAGATTAAATTTTAATGGGAATGGCTATACTTTTACTCCAGGACGACGGTTTATTTATTATATTAGGTCTTTATTTATGAACATTATCTAAGATTCGCTCGTTGATTATAATATAATATAATCTCTGTGCTTTTACTTGAACGTCAATATAAATATATATTGAATGTAAGTTAGGCTAGGTTATGGCGGTAGCCGGAGAGGGGGGATAAACCCATTCCCCCCAAGCTCACGGGGACCTGTTAAAGGATCATTGTATTGCCGCAAGGACACGTGCCCCTTCTCATTATCTGAACCTTGGAGAACAAACTATTGCAGATTAAGGGGAGTCCCATCCAGAGGCTTGGATAAATTTGGACAAGGTTTTATTTCGGAAACCGAAGACGCTTTAATTAATCTATTTATTTATTTATTTAATTAAGCAAAAACAATTGCGCTCTTAGAATAGGTGCATGTTGAGAGAGAATTTGGCTCCGAGGGCTTGACTCTCTCTAACTGGCTCGGTTCACCCAAGATAAATTTATTACTAAGTTGACGTCGTCACCACATCTGCCCTCTTTCGAGGACCATCCGTCTGTCAGTATGCAAGCAAACGCGCAGAACACAAAACGTTTGCTGTTTCTTTCTAGCGCTTGTCTCTTTGCGAGCTGAGAGAGAGTAGATGGACCCTCACCACAACGGACGATGTCACTTTATGAGTAAATTCAACTCTGCTGCTCTCTGTGGCTTTCCCAAATCCCACGTGAATACTTCAGTCGAATATTATTCATTTCTTCAATTCCTACCTCAAGCACTACGAAACCCAACAAATCACAGCCCGAGTCTCTCTTTCTCTCTATTTAAAGAAATCAAAGTAAAGTGCTACAACAAAATGTGTTGTTTTTTGCACTCTCTCCGTCCGTTCATCTCTTCGGCTACGGAATGTAGCGAAACAACACTTGGCTGCTACATTTGTGTGTGTGTGGGAGACGGAGTTAATTTCCTAAAAGAAAGAACGAGAGTATTCCCTTTGCCCTTTATCAGTCGAGAGAACCGAAGCCGAATCCAACAATACTTTCGCACCCACATGCATGTATGCCAAAGACGTGATGATGTACATGTTTGGGTATGTGTAACACACAGAAGGAAAGCGTTTCCGACCCCATAAAGTATATATATTGTGAGGCAACACCTACACCGACAACTACCCAGCCCATCCCATAGTACCCTCACCGGTTCCCCGATATCAACCCACAACCAATACTCTTATGCGGTTCTCTAGTGCGATAAGTCTTATGCGATACTCTAGTGCGATATACGATTCATTCGGTGATCGGCAAGAGAAAAGAAAAGACACGTGAAGTCAAAGAAAGACATAATAAAACCCGGGTCTGTGGCCCACTATTTTTGTACTCAGCATCAATAGCCGAGTCGATATAGCCACATCTGTCCATCCCGATAAGCGCCTAGATCTCAGAGGCTCTACGAGCTAGAGCAACCAAGCTTTGTACTGTAATATTACACTGTTACACGTGTATTTCAAAAGTTCGTCCCACTCCCTTCCGCCCCTACAACACGCATATTCGTATGCTTACAACTTTACCGCTGGTTTTGGATTACAGTAGAGTACAGTCGAACTTCTCTATTAAGAACTTCCATACAACGAAGTTTTCTATATAACGAATTTATTTCTAGAACACAGCAGTTTTATATTCTGCAAGAATGAATTTCCCTTAAGATTCACTAGACTTCGACTCTATTTGAAAACATTTTAGTCAAGTTCCGCATACCATTCCCGAATTTTCATTATACTGAATGGGGTGGAAGTGCTACTGGAATGTAATGCAGAAGGTTACATCAGATTGTGCAGCCTAAAAAGGTGTTTGATTCTGATCTTTCTGGAACTCTACTTAGTTTCAACGAAGTGGATCTAATCTGAGAGCAAGATGTATCACAAATCTGTATGCATTCTTTAGTAAATCGTCAATATATTTCAGCCAATTCTCAAAGTTATAATGATCCGATAGCAGTCTGGTACATAATATCATTCTTTAAAGCTCTCTCGTACCTTTTTCTGTGTATCTTTTTTGGGTTCAAATACCCCAATGACTCACCCCGTAATGTTTTTCTGATTAACGAAGTAAATCCAACAAAATACTATACCACAAGTAAATAAAGATAAAGATATTGTGTATTCGGAGAGTGCGGAATCTCCAACAGGCAGATAAGACGAAAGAGAATATCCAAGAATTCAATGACTATTCCAATTTATTTTGCTATTCTTTTGGCATCCCAAATTTGTCTGCGCATTTCGTTTTTAGTAGAAAAGATTATTCACATCGTAGACCTCGTTGGCGCTGCACAGATTCTTGTATTCGGGATTGGTGCCGGTGGTGCATTTGGTGGCCGGTGCATTGGGGCAGGAACTGTACATCTTGATGCCCAGGACATTGGTGGCCGCATAGTTGCAGGCCATGAGGAAGGCCTTGTAGGGCTGGCCCTCCACCGAGTAGGTGGACACGGCGCATCCCACATCCGTATTGCGATCGGCCACCAGGACGGTGAAGTGACCGATGGCCGGACCCTGGTAGTTCGTCGGATAGGCATCGATGTAGGACTGCTTGGTGTTCACGGCCTCGCCGTACCACATGTCCACGCCCCACTCCACATAGTGCTTGATGTCCAGGGGCTCGTACCAGCCCATCCAGGCGAGATTCTGGCCGGACCAGTCGAAGGCATCGGTGTTGTGGCAGCCGTCGTGGGTCATCTGGCAGCTCTTGACGTTCAGGGAGGCCAGGTAGGCCAGTTCGTCGTTCCACTTGATGGTGGCCATGCGACAGGCGGCGCTCAGATTGGCATTCAGGCCTCCAGCGATGTCATTGCGGTACGTGTTGGTCCTGGCCACAATGGCGGCCTTCTGGTCGTCGGTGAGGGTCAGCAGGGTGGCGTCCGCGGGGCAACTAGAGGCAAATTCGCCCTTATTGTCGCAGCCAAGATTCTTTGTGCCGCCGCAGCTTTTTTGGCAGTAGTCCGTGGCCGAGGCAATGCCCAGGGCCAATGCCACACAGACGATGATCAGGATGTTGCGCATTTCTATTCTCACACTTGAGTGCTGAGGATTCCGAGCGGGTGCCGTGCTTTTATGGGGGAACTTTTCTTGCCCAGAAGTTGTTATCAACATTTGACTAAATATTTACCAACAGTACGTATACGTATCATTTGTCAGCGCCGCCGCCAATGGTGATCAAATATGTAACACCAAACCACCCGCCACCTAACCATTGCGTCATCCTACGTCACGGCGATGATAAATACCAGAGAATATGAGTGAGATATGTCTGAGAGATAGAATCCCCATTACCATCCGACCATCCGAATGCCCAGTTGCCCTGATGGCTTTGAAATGGAAATTATGCGGAAACCTTCCAAAATTCCATGGAAGAAAGGCTATAGATAATGCAGAAAATTAATTGCTTAGTGATAATGGGATATACTCTGGCTCTATAAATATATCATTAGATTATCTATAAGTGTCTATATTTCTTGGAAATGATTGCTTCAATCTACTAGACAATAAAATATAGTAACGAAACCATGGATTTCTTAACGTTTAAAGCAGAAAAATATACACTTTATACGACAAACAAACATCAAGTGCTAGCGATACAAAAAACGATGAAGTGCAGAAACTAATACCAGGAATCATGACTCTGAAATGGATCTAAAGATATCAGATAAAGAAATATAATATAGACTTCTGATATGGAAAGAAAGGTAAATGATAGCACAACGCGTGTCTAGCACTACAAAAGAAGAATCAACATGTGCATTGATGACACTCAAATGTTTGTCCAACTTACAAAAGAAAGCTTTGAATTGATACAAGTACAGATAAATGTAACACCTTAAATATTAATCCAAGTATTACGAGATTAGTCTTTCCTTCGAGTCGTGTATTAAAGAACAAAGGCCCAGACAACCGAGTCAATGTTTGTGCAGCTGTCGGCTACTGGCCATAACTACTGAGAGAACTTTTACTAACTATGACTTCTGAGAGAACTTCTAAGATATATGACTTCTCAGAGTATATACGCTCAGTACGCTGAGGACATCTGAAAGAATATTGATCCCAAGACTTTTAAAGTATCAAACATAATACGTATACTTCATATCTCATAGATATTTTTTATTCTTATAGAAGACTTCATTCTTAAAACAAGAAAAAAATCTATATTGCAATAGGAATTTTTCACTTGAATCTAGAAAATGATACTATGTTTTTTGACAAAGAAAATACGTGATTATAGCACAAAAGTTCTCTCTCAGGGGCACCCCTGTTGGCACTCAGAAGGACGTATCTTCAAAACTACTTCATCAGCCCCTTTCGGAGTCAAAAAAAAGTTGAACACAAAATTGGTTTAATGATAACTGCAAACCAAAAGATTCCATTAAATGTGGGGAAATTTCTGCAAGTCTGCAAAGCAGATAAGACGGCTAAAAAACGTGTCGAGTGGGGCCATGTGTGAGGACTGGGATTGTGGTAGTCAAGTACAATACGCATTCGGAGACTGGTTTTCCTCAGTTCTACAAATGCTTCCTACCAACTGCCGAGCCCCTTTTTGAACGATTTTTAAACGAAAACAGCTTTTTTAACACGAGTTGATCATGGTAATTACGGACGTCATACTACTTTCACGGTATGTGACATGACAATTTGCTCAATTATTTCTCTCATTGGGTCTTGATAAGGCTAAAAGCGACCTCAGCCAGAAACTTAAATAGCAGTCGTCGTGAGACTGGAGGGGTTCCAAAATGTCTTAAGCTTAAAGCAAAGATTTGAAGAATACAAAAATCAATCATTTTTGTATCTGCTCTAAAATATCTGCACGGAATTAAACATGAGATACCCAGTACGCAGAAATTACATTTACGGATTTGATTTCAGCTTACAAAGCGGACGAATCCTAGATCCTAGACATTGTGCTAGGACTTTCGATCATTTAAAATACGACTGAATCATGTCTGAATCTGAATGGATCTGAATCTGTCTGAACAGTAATATCATTTAAGTTTTCCTGCATATAATTCTGCAAGCAAAGAATAATCGTCGTATTGCAATAAATTTCAATTGAAGAATGTCAGACCATCAAAAAATACTATGAACGGATAACGAGAGATATATAATGCTCTTATTAGGGTTTTTTTTTAATTAACGGCAACATTTTGGGTTCCAAAAACCCTGGAAAGCCTTTGACTGGAGGGTTATATATTTATGTACTATATTTTGTATATTTATGGATCTGTGACTGTTGAGGAACTACTATATAGATCTATAGATCCATGACTGCCAAAGACCTATAGATCCACAGTTCTCTTTCTGCCTTAGAGCTATAGATCTATAGAACTCTTTCTGCTGAAGGTGCATACATCCAAAGCTCATCTATCCGATGCTCAAGTTTACACATCGTAGACCTCTGTTACCTTGCACAATCCTGAATAGTTGACATTGGTGCCCTTTAAGCAGCCAGAGGCCTTGACACCCCTCTGGTAGACGGGACTGCCCACCCAATTGGTGGTGGCATAGTTGCAGGCTAACAGGAAATAGTTCATGCCACTCGCCGTATAAAAGGCAGCCGCACAGCCGCAATGGGTGTTCTTCTCTTGGGCCATGGCAGTGAAGTGTCCAATTTGCCTAAAAGAAAACCATATCTAAGTGAAATCGCACAGTAAGGGGGCCACATATCTGAGCCGCTTACGGTCCAGTCCAGTCGCTGGGATAACTGTTGATGACCGCCATTGTGGCATCCTTCTTCTCGTTCCACCAATTGTTCACGCAGGCATTGATCAGCTGTGCTATGGTCATGCCTGACTGGAGACCCGAGTAACCATACATGGCAAGATTCTGGCCACTGGCGGAGAACGTCTGCGTGTTGTGGCAGGCATCATGGTTCATTTCGCACTGCTTGACATTCAGGGCCGCCAATTTGGCCAGCTCTGCATTCCATTGCATCGTGGCCATCCGTTTGGCTGGCTTATATTTGGTCAACACTCCGCTGGCTATGTTGTTCCGCCTGACATTGTGCATCTTGAGGATTAGTTTCCTCTGGGACGCATTAAAGGTCACAGCCGATGGGGCGGGACTTGTGGGACAGGCCGAGGACCAGGCCTGCAAATATATTTCGAAAATCTATCAGACCTCAATCAGAGACCCAGCTATATGTTCCACTTACACCACTGTTGTTGCAGGCAATATGCGTGGAGGTGCCACACAGCGCTTTGTCACAGTAGTTCGTTGTCGCCCCCTCGGCCGCGGACAGGACCACACCGATGATCGAAAACAGAGTTACAGCCGGTCGCAACATTTCTCCACAAAGTATCAGGTGTTCATTTACCAGCGTTGGACTTCTTATATACCGATTTTCGATCCCCAAAAAAAAGACACCATTGTTTTGGGCGGAGGAGCGTGTCTTCAATATTTAATTTACCTTATTGTTCAGTTAATTTCAATATTTGTCTGCAAAGGCCCCCCCCCAACTGTATTTGCATGAGCGTATACAGTGTGAGCAGTGTGTACAAGTGTCATAAGCCACAGACCCAATCCCGACCCTCAATCTCAACCCCGAAATTTCTTAAATCCAGATGAAAGTATATCTAAAAATGTGATTGACATCTGGTAGAGTTCTATCCCAAAATGGCGACATATTCCCTCAAAGAAACGAGTGTGGAGTGACATTTTTCTTTTCCACTCTGTTCCGATTCTGTAGCGCCGGCGGTGTGAGTCCCCTTTGCTTTTTATTTGCACAATCCCATTTCTAATTTTGATTCATGCTCAAAGACAAATATTAACATAGTTAAACAATATTTAATTAATAACATTTCCGAAATTGTCCTAAAGTTGTATTTGGCCCACGCGAAATGGTCTGGAAATATATGGTTTGTCAGACTTAAGTCGAAACTTCTGTTCTCTTGCAGTTTGATCATCCCATAACCGACGAAGAAACCAGCAGAAACCTCCTCTAATCCAACTCTAATAATTCTCCAACTCTCTAATAATTTTCAAACAAAAATTATAAAATACCATTTAAAAGCATAAAGTTATTATATCTAATTCCATGATATTGTTTCTATTTTTAATTCAATGATAGATAAATATTATTCTTATCTGTTTACCTTCATATAAAGCCATATCTAGATATATATGAAGCCATCCAAATCAATTCCGCAATTAATCAATTCAAAACAGAGGTTGATAACATCGTGCCAGACGACGGAACTTGTGAGTGCCAGACGAGCCTCCCTCGAAGCTCTCGTCGGATGACGAACAATGAGAAAAATCGAGACAACAATTACAATACAATACAAGCAATAACAATATCAAAACAAAGAGTTACGTTACGTTAAGAGATCTGTTTACTGTACTGCCATGGGCCGGCGCTGAGCCGAATAGTACAGATTATCCATAGATCAAAAACAAAAACAAATTATATGAGTATATCTCAGTGTTTTCCTGTTTCCCTAAGGAAAACACCTCATTAAATAAATTATTTAATATTTTTGGTTAACATTCTTCAGGCTATTCCTTCCGAATGGTATTTAAAACCCTACTGGCAGATAAACTTGTGAGTCACGAATTCCATTACCAGTAGAATTCCGATAAGCGGATACATTACCGGAAAGTTGTGGGCAAAAATATTTAAACGACTGACAAAGTTGTGGGATTATAGAGCTATTTTCCATACCCTTACTCTTGGGATCTTGTGGAAACCTGTTTCCAAGACCCGTTTCCTTCTGGGGATCTTTGTTAGGTGTCCCCCGTAATTCCTTCCTTCTTTGTAGAACTATTCTCCCATTTTCACCTGGAATGTTGGGGATATTTTAGTTGGGATACCTTCTGGAAGTGAAACATATTTTTAAGACTTCAATTCTCTCCCTAAAATCCTTTGAATATTCCAAATAAAACCCTATTTTTTTTATAATATATATATATATATATTTTCTTGTTGACATATTTGATATGCTGCCATTTTTATTTATTTGTTAGTAGGGTTCTTCTGTTTCGGTTTGTTTTCTTTTGTTTCTTCTTAAAACTTAGGTTTTCTGTGTGTCTTCCCCATATACTTAGTTTAACATACGGATACCATTTGCAGATCTCTCTTCTATTTTTGTGTAGATATATGTAGTATTTTTTTATATATGGAATGAATGCCCATGTCATTCATTTTCTTTTTGGTACATAAAAATAAATATAGTACTTGCTTAACCTCCAGCACTTCCTTGTATCTGTATCCCTCTCTCTCTCTCTCTCTCTCTGTTTTTGGGACACATACATACATATGTATATATGTAGATATATAGATATTCATTCGAGTTTTTCCATTTCATTTCAGTGTTTTTATTTGCATAAGAAAATTATTATTCTGTGGGCTGTTTGCAATTGTTCTTCAAAGTTCTGTTTTTTGTTTTGTGTTTTTTTCCTTTTGCTTTTGCTGTTGCTATTGCTTTTTCTTCTGTTTTTGTTTGTTTTACCGGTTCTCTGCTAATAATATTTTTCTTTTTTTGGCGCACCTAAAGCTAGCACTCTTTATAAATTTCACACACAAAATATGGATTTATTTGCTTTAATATTTGTTGTTTTTCTTCGTATTTATCGTTTACACAGTTGTACGAGATTTTTATTCAAGTAGGTATATTTCTCACTTAGAGTTCTAGTAATATTAATTGAATATATAATCATATATAGTACTATATACAGATCAGATCCTAAACGATTAACGTACGAACTTTTGTTTTTTTTTTCTTTTTTTGTTGTAGCAAATGAAATTCTGACAATTGTGCAGGGGGTGGAATGGGGGAAAACCGACTTGAAGTCGCCTCCATTTTCAGCACTTACAAACTAGGGATGGGCTCATCAGGATCGTATGAAAAAGCTAAGCAACATATAGAACATATACACAATAGAGATGATGGCACAGAGGACCCTACGCTTGGCGATGGATTGGTAGGGGAACAAGAAATCAAACAATTTAAATCAAATTAAAGCAAAGCACTTTTTTACGTATGATTTTTTTTGTTATTTTATATAAGTAGGGTTTCAACTTAATTCAATTTTCCGTTCAGTTCAATGTATGTATGTGTGTGTGTGCCGCAGTCTATAGACATTATAGCCTTTAATATCATTTAAAATACTCGTATAATATATAACATTTTTTCTCTTCTTGCGTTTCATTATCTTTTATGTACAACATTTACGCGTGTCATGCATGCCATTTTCTTGGGGGAGGGGGGGTATATATGTATATAGTATATTTATCTGCTTACATAAATAACAAATGGGGGGAGTATGGGGATTGTTTCTAAGCGCACTAAATGAATGCATATCATATCATGGTATATATCAGAGTATATATCTCTCCTTCTTTTTCAACTGAATATCATTTTTTTGTTTGTCACAAGTTCATTTTTTGTTTCGGGTGTAAGTAGTAACTGGAACTCTTTCAACTGGGGCCGAATGACTATATGCATCTTAAATGTCGAATAATAATTATCATATAGATATTTCCTGTATATACTAGGTATATATATAATATCTAGGGGGGGTGTGTGTGTGCCAAAGGGTAGAGCATTGCCTCCTCTCTCTCTCTCTCTCGCTGTCTTCTACCGTACATAAATATATATCTTTATTTTTTCCTTTCTTTCGTTTTGTGTCCTCTATTTCTACAACTAGGTTTATGTATCTCTTTAGTTTAGGGTTTTATGTCGCTTATTGTTTAAATTTTAATAGACACCATTTTGCATTATATAGCAATAACAACGTTTTGAGTGCTGTCCCTTCACATTTTTTTATTCCCTCAGCTCTTCCGCTGATTGCGATTGAGTCTGTGCCTGAGTTGGAACCTGAACCGAAACCAAAGACGAGGCCGTAACCAAAGACTGAGACTGCGACTGGTGCTGCGGCTGGTGCTGCAGCTGCTGCTGATGTTGTGCCGGCGATGGTGGCGGTCCAAATTTGCTGGTTATCTTGTGCGAGGCATTGACAATGGCCAGCTCATGCTTGGAGTCCAGATCACAATCGTACAGACCGCTCAGCGAGTCCAGGCTTAACAGACGAGAGCTGGCGCGACTCGACACTGAGGTGTCATCCACATCGGGGGCATTGTACAGCGAATTGACATCCGAGAGAGCGCCCTCGGCATCGGTGAGACCGGCCTCATTCAGCAGCGAGATATTTTCCAGGCCCGGTTCATCCGTAATATAACCAGTGGACTCGGCACCACCTAAAACAAAGCAAAGAAAAGTTTAGATTACGGGAAACCATAAAGGATAAAAGTTTTACCTGTGGCCTCTTCACGGCAATCATCGTCCGACCATTCCGATTGGCTCTCCAATGGATTGGAGTCCATCGACTGGTGGTTGAGATGTGCTGCCCCATATTTTAGCTCATCGTTTATCACATTCGATTCCAGACCGCCGCTGCGCAGGCCACCGCCACCGCAAACGCCGTTTGTCAGCGGTGTCACATTGTTCTGCTCCTTCTGCTCATGCTCGTGATCCTCCTCCTCATCATCATCATCATCGCTATCCCCAGTCGTTCGCTTATGCTTTTCTCCTGGAGCCTGCTGCAGCAGGCGCTTTTGTCGCACATCCCGACCCACTTCATCGTCTTCGAACTCCTCGTCGGCCAGGTTATCCTCTGTGTCGTCACGCTCCTCCTGCTCCTGGACATGGTTGTATCGCTGCTGCTGTTGCTGCTGTCTCTGCAGCTGCTGCTGTTGTTGCTGTTGTTGCTGCAGCTGCTGGTGATGATGATGATGATGGTGGTGGGAGTGATGGTGATGGTAGCGCGGGTGCCGCTGCTGCTGCTGTTGCTGTTGCTCCTGCAGGCCATCCAGACTCTCGTGGCTGTATTGCAGCTCCTTGGAGCGTGGCCGTTGGCGATGTGCCCGCTGCGACTGTTGCAACTGCGGCTGCTGCTGCTCCATCATCTGATGGGGATGCGACAGGGCATGCAGTTGATTGCGATTCTCGTGCAGAATCTCGCAGGACTCCGTGTCCGATGTTTGCCTGCACAAAATGGCAATAAATATTTAAACGTTTCTCAAAAATAAACAAACAAATAAAATAAATTAAGGGGAAAAAAAACAAACAAATAAACCAGCAACCAAATGAATGAAAAGTTTTCCGCATACCACGTTTTTTATGGACATGGAAATGCTTGTGGGGTGTGCGGTGTGGTGGGGTGGGGTGGGGTGGGGTGGGGTATGGCACTCACATTTGACTCGATTCCGAGGGATTCTTGTTGCGCGTTATCTCCTTGATGGCCTCCAGGCCCACAGGGTGCTTGGCAATCATGAAACTGCTGCTTGCGGGTAGACGGCCCATCAGGTCGTGCTCCTGCTGCTCTCGCTCCCGCTCCCGCTCGCGGCCGTTCTGATGATTGTTGTTGCCGCTGGCATTCGAGTTGCTGCCACCGCTGAGGTTTCCATTGCTGCTGCCACTGCCGCCGCTGCCACCATTGCCGGCTGTGGCTCCTCCTGTTCCCGTTCCCGCTCCTCCCTGCGCTCCCGCCAGCTTGCTGTTGCTGACGGAATAGCTCATCTGCTTGCCATTCTCTGTGGCACTGGCGTTGGCTGCTGCCAGGCAGCGCGCCCTCGAGGATTCATTGAGCAATCGCTGCAGCTCTCTTTCGAAGGGGGATTTGGTGGTGGCAGCAACAGGCTGCTGCTGCCCCCCCTGGGCAGATCCTCCTGCCTTTTGGTAGTCGAAACTGTTGCAACTGTCGCCCTTGTTCTGGGTATTGTTGCTCGTCGCATTGCTGGTCGTGTGCTGGCCCTGGCTCTCGGTGGTGGAGCTAAGCTCAAAGTCCTGCAGCTGGGTCATGTCCACGACTGGCGAGGTGGGATCCACTTGAATGTCGCACGGGTACAGCCACTGCAGGGGATTCACGAGTCCTCCTCCTGCTGCTCCTCCTCCTCCTCCTCCACCTATGCCAGGCAGATGGAAGCCCACGGGATGGCCATTCCGATTGAGCTGGTGATGGTGGTGACTGCCATTGATCCTGGGCGAGTCCTCATCGCCCTCGCCCTCCGTTGTCTTCGAGTAGCTCTCATCGGAGCTGCTCATCGATGGGGAGTGCGGCCGAGAGCTTAGGTCATCCGTTGAGGACATGTCACGGCTCTCGTCCAACTCTGCGGGAAGCTTGGGCAGCGGCTTCATGTACGTCCGCAGCGTGGGCTTCGGTGGCAGTGGCACCGGCACCGGCACCGGCACGACCACGGGCACCTGTTGCGAGTACATGGCATATTGCTGCTGCTGTTGCATCACTTGGTGTCCGTACAGCAGCTGCTGTGGGGCAGGAAGCGACTGCTGCTGCTGCTGCTGCTGTTGCGAATGCTGTGACAACACGGTGTTGGGAGAAGTGTAACGTGGTGGCTCGTACTTTGGCGCATGCTGCATGGGCATGATCTATGGGTGTTAGTCGGTCGGTATATATGTGTGTGTGTGTGTGTGTGTGTGTGGCAAGCGGAGATGAGCGAGCGAGAGAGAGATGTGCGAGTTGTGTGTGTGTGGCATGCAAAGAGTGAACACAAAGAGAGAGAGAGAGTTAGACACACATTTGGAGAGAGATATTTATCAGAGATTTGTATCACATTGAGAGCATTAGATTTCGGTGCAAAGAGGGTGGAGTTTTGTTTGTTTTTTTGAGACAGGGGGAGGTGCGCACATCGGGAGATCAAAGGATCAGCAACCAACAGATACATATATATAGAGAACGGATAACGAAGCTTTTTTCTATTAAAAATCCACAAAAGGGATTATATATCTTATCTTCTCTGGTATTCCCTTAAGATTTCGAAATTTCTTACTGCCTGCAGCAAAAAAAAAAACCAAAAAAGGATCTGTGCAGCAGGATTTCAAGACTTTTGTGCATTAAAACATAATAATGGACATATTATAATAAATTCTATGTACTACACCTTTAAGAATAACAAACTAATATATCCTTAATTTTTGTAAATATTTAGTTCATGATTTCAATCAAATTTAATGAGAAATACACGTGCAGCAGCGCCCCTCGGTTGGTTAGGAACACACTTTGAAGCTTAAAGCTTAAGCCTATGAAGAGCTTTGCATCGCAAAGTTTAAATATGAAGCTTGAATAGCTTTGAAGGTTATAGATATAAACCTTTTCTTACAAAAATATCTCTAAAACATAAACGTATAAGACTATCCACATCTGTTCCGTTCTGTTCTGTAAAAGTTAGTTACAAATGGGGGATGGGGGTGTGGGTATGGGGTATGGGGATGGGCAGGTACTTGGAGGCAACATCTGGAGTTTACTCTGAAGGTTGGCTCTGGCTCTTCATAGCAGAATCTCCTTGCCCCAGAGCCTCTCCATTTCGACAACGTCAATGTCGTCATCGTCATCATCTTCATCTTCACTCACCTTGGCTACCGGTGCGATGCTGCTGGCATGCAATAGCGGCTCGCTCTCACGGCAGTGGCCATACCCCAGGCTGGTGGCTGACGATGGCTGATGCTGATTCTGATTCTGATGCGGATTCGAATGGTTTAGATGATGCATTGGATGATGGCCATGCTGGTTAAAGGGCAACGCCATGCTGGGCGGCGGCGCGTATGTGCGCAGCTGAAGCTGATCACAATCTCGTTCGCGTTCGCGATCGCGATCACGCCGCGGCATCATGAAGCAGTCGCCGCCACCGCTGCCGACACCACCGCCACCGCCACCGAGCACTCCGGCCGCGTCCATGCTAAGGCTGCCATGATGCTGTGGCCGCTGGGCAAGCAGCTGTGGCGGTAGCTGCTCCAGCTGCTGATGCTGCTGGGGATGCGGATGCCTGCCACCGGGATTCGGATTTTCAATGATATTAAATTCGCGCAACATTACCGAAGGAATGGGCTGGTGCTGGAGCTGGAGCTGGTGCTGGTGCTGGAGCTGGTGGTGGAGTAGGATCTGGTGCTGGTTCTGGTCCAGGGGTAGAGGGACAGCAGCAGACGACGGTGTCGTTGTCGTCGTCGTCGTTGATGCCCCCACCATATAGTGATGGTCCCCATTGTGGCCGTTCTCGCGTATATTTGGCAGTCCCCCATTGGCCATGAAATTGGGCTGCTTTTGCAGCTTGCTGTTGAGACGCTGCTGCTGCTGCTGGTGCAGGTGGTGGTGGTGCACGGCCGGTGGCTGTGGTGGAGCGGTCAGGGCCAACTGTGGCATTGCCAACGGCAGGGGATCCAGCTGCTTGTGCTGATGCTGCAACAGCAGCTGCTGCTCCTCGCCGCCGCCCACCGCAGTGTACAGATGTCCGTTCTCCTTCTTGCTGTAGGTGTCCGAATTGACGCGATTCTCCGGGAATTGGGAGGCCTTCATGTAGTAGTCGGGGCCGTGCATGCTCTGCGGCAAGGACATGGCATTCCGTACCTCTCCGTTCAGAGATTTGCTGCTGTTGTCGCACAGGAAATACGTGACCATGTCACCCTTGCCCTTCACTTTGATGGTGCCCCGACATCTGTGTGGAACAAGAGGTGAGTTCAGTTTGAAGGTATCCCTCTAGATATTCTTACCGAAACTCGAAGTGCGATCCCACCAGACTGTCGACCACCTCCTGGGTGACCTGGGAGTAGCCAGGGACGCCTGTGGAGTCCATGCGGCTGGCCACATTCACCGTATTGCCCCAGATGTCGTACTGCGGCTTTCGGGCACCAATAACGCCCGCCACCACGGGTCCAATGTTGATGCCTGCCAAGGGGGAAAGCGTTAATTAATCGATTATTTTCCCTATCCGATATGATTTATGACTAATATGGCTGTATGTGAAATTCTTTCATTTTCAGGGTTTTTATATCGCAACTCAATGGTTTTATCGACATTTGACTCAACAATGGCTCCAAAAAATATACTTAATAACTCATGAATCGATAGTTATCGATATACAAGACAATTTATGACTAAATAAGGGATATAGGGGACTTTCATTCTCTTTCAAATATGTCTATGGCTAGTAATGTCTCCTAGAAGTTTAGTTACTCACTTATTAATCGATAATTGTCGATATTCAAAACGATTTCTGATTAAAATTTGGCTATAAGTAATCTTTTGAATACAGTTTATAATAATTCTTGAATTTCTTATGCATTCTATGCTATTTCTAGACAATCTCCTATAAAGTCCTTCATTTATTGATTTTTATCGCTAACAAAGACAGAAGTGGATTTACTCCCTTATCCATCGATAATTATCGAAATTCAGCACTATTTTACGACTTAAATATAGTTCGTACAGTTTACGTTATTTCTTCTCCTTTCTAGATATTTTCCATTCCCCGATTTTATTGATTTCTATTCATTGCCATGACTCCCACTTATCGATTACTCACCGACTCGAAGCATAAAATTATTGTACGAATGACTGTTGATCTCCTGTAGCGACAGCCGCATGGCCTTCACATACTCCGTCAAAGCGGTCATGTGGCGACGCACCGAATTGGGGTCGTTGGGCTGGATCTTGTACTCGGGTATAAGACCCACCACGGCCATGTAGGTGCTGCCTACGGTCTTGATCTTATCGATGCCCCTGAAGCGATCCTCCTTGAGCAGCTCATCAAAGTCGGCAATGATTTCGTTTAGCAAACGCAGGCACTCCAGACCCTGATCGGAGCCATCCATTTCGGTGTAGAATTCATTAAAGTTCGGTACGCTGGCAAAGATGACGCCCACCTTGGCATAGCTCTGGTGGTAGAGCTCCTGGAAAAGCGGTGACACCACACAAAAGGGCTTAAAGAGTGCTTCAAAGAGTGGGTCAGTGGTGCAGCAGCTCTCACCATATTGTTGCGGAATTGCGCATCGAGAAAATGTGCAGCCACATGAGCGGGCAGCAAATTGTGCAGAATGCGCTTATTCGACTCCTGCAGCACATCCATTTCCTTCTTCTCCTGGGAGGCCTGAAGTTGCCAGAGAAAATCCAGACGGGCGGTGCCCTCCACCAGGCGGCCATGCACCAAAATGGCAATCATAAAGATGACAATGCGCGCCAATGAGATCAAATGAAGCGGAATCGAGGCACTGCAAGTATATAGTGTGTGTGTGTGTGTGTGTGTGTGTGTATGTGTGTTTGGATCAATCTGATTAGTGACCAAAAATAAAGCGACCTACTTCACCCGATGGTCGTAGCACTCGAAGATGTTCTGATGCGACAGTTCAATGAACAAACCATAAATGGTGCCCATACCCAGAACCAGCAGCGACTTGAATATGATGGGCAATCTGTGTGGCAATGGAAAAGAATAGAAAAGTGTGTCATCATTAGGGCTCTCTCCTTGGGGGCCTCCATTCGTGTCTACGTACCTGAGAAACACCGATACTGAGAGGAAGGCAAATGCCGCCGACAATGACACGTACTGTGGCAGCGAGCACTTGCGATGGGCATCGCTTGGGTACGAGAAAAAGTGCGGATCCAATTGTCGGTTCGATGACCAGGCAGTGGCCGTGGCATTTCCCGAGCAGGGATGATCCGTGACGCAAGTGAACTATAAACGAAATGGCAGTCATTGAAGGCAGTGGAAGGCAGTGGAAGTGCTTCAAATACTTACCACATTCACTTGTCCCACAGAATAAATCAAAATGATTGTAAATATGGTGATGGCCATGCGCAGGCTGAAGCTCTCCGAAATATCCCAAATGATCCACTTGAGACGCACTGCCAGCAGGAGCATCAGTATGGCACTCACCCAAATGAAGGCCGTGAGGAAGAGCAGCAGCAGTATGAGAGTCCGTGGCAATGCCGTCACTTGGAGCGCCGCTCCGAGTATGAGCAACAGCAAGGAGCATCCCATGGCGGTGGTAAACCCCAAATCGAAATCCTTGTGATACTCTCGCTCCATGTCGCTCTGTCGGAAGCGCAGCGTCAATCGATCCACATGCTCCGACTTGTCGCAGTCCACGGATCTGGCGTTGATCGCCTGCGAGAGGAAGCGATTCACACGATTCGTGGGCTGATGATGCGCTGCCACCGAATGCCGTTTGCGGAAGGGTCTCTTGAATTTGTCGGCCACCTTGGACTGTGACTTTTAGTTGTGTTTGTTTTGTTTGTTTTTAAAGTGCATTTAACAGGCAGGAGCGGAGCAAATGGGAAGAAGGAAGGAAGAAAATGGTATTTCGGTTAGTTGTAGTTACTGTTCCCGGATGGGTTTTCGTTTTCTGGTCGCTGGCTGGCTGCTGATTGCTGGCTGAATTTCAGAGAGATAGATAGATTTTTGTTCTACTTATGTACTATGCTAAATGCTACGAAATGGGGGGGATGCTAAATGCTAGATGCTAGATGCTATAGATGCCATGGTTTCTAGAAATGCTGAGGCATGCGGTGGTTCCGGGTAGTGGGTTTACTGGATTACTGGGGGGTTACTGGAACCACGAACGACAGAACGATTGCAGTAAGCATGCTCTATGTATGACAGAGAGAGAGACTGTGTGTGTGTGTGTGAGAGGCAGAGAGCTTAACGAAACTGAACGAAATTCATGCACGCCGTATGTCGGATGATAACAAGCTTAAACGCAACGAAACTGAACGAACGATGCTGGACGAAACAAGCGCTGCATGAAGGCCGCCCCAACCCCCCCGCGCAGAAGCGCACAACTGAACGAAAGCATAAGCCATAACTTAACGAATGAACAAACGACACTTGAATACAGTTGTGGTCTGGTATTTGAAATTTTCAAATCAACGAACTCGACGAAGAATATTTTTTAAGACAATACCACAACAAATTTAGTATTTTCTCAATATATTATTAGCATAAAAAAAATATTAATGAGTTGGTTTTTAAATTTAAAAAAAAAATCCACAAGAGTTATTTTTTGATTTTTATTAAATATTTTAAGAAAAACTCATCAAACAGTTCTTGAAATATTTTTGAACGAAAAACACTTCAACGAAGCTTGGTATTTTTTAGTATGTACTTTCGTATGTATATTTTCAATATTTTAGCAATATTAAAAACTCATCAATTTTTTTTAAGGAGTTTTTGAATAAACAAAATTCAATGAAGAATGGTAGTATTTTTCAGTAATTTAGTTTGAAATTTGTTCAAAGCTCGAGCAATTTTAAACACAGCTCCTCAAACATTTCTTTAACGAAAAAAAAATTTTTTATGGTATTTTTTTAGCATTTTAGAAATGTTAAGAAAAAATAAAAGTTTTTTTTAGAAGTCTTATATTTTTATGGCATTATGATAATTTTTTAATCCAACCAAATTTAAAAAAAAAATTGCAGTATTTTTTTAATATGTGTTTTTTTTTAATTTTAGTATTTTTTTACATGCATAGCGAGCATACTATTATTGACCACAACTGTACTGAAATGAATGGTTCCAACACGAAACGGCACACATATTCAAAGGAACGAAGACGTAGACGTAGACGTGGAATGAACGAAACGTTGTACAACACAATTGAACGAAACATGAACCGGAATGCTGAACGAATACGATTGAACGATTGAACGAATGAACGAAAATTATGGACTGTTTTTTGTTTGTTTTTGGTTGCTGCTCTGCTCACTTTATTGTTCTTGTGATTGTGCCTATGAATGCGACTAATCGTACTCGCTGTTGAGTTGGGATCTGTGCCTACGGTCACTTGGACACTGCCACCCCCACCGCAGCCACTGCCAATGCCACAGCCCACACTGCCACCGTCAATACCGACACCACCACCAGCACCACCACCGCCACCACTGCCGACGACGCTACCATAGCCCATGGGTGGCATGCCATGAGCGTGCGGTGGCGGGGTGGCATGCAAGATTTTCTGCAGACGTATTACCTAAATCAGAGATCAGAGAAGTACACAGGAGTATTCAAAATAGATTCGCAATACATCGAAATATTTAAGTATATAATTGATAGAAAAAGAGAGATAATATTGCTTATCATAGGAGTAGTCTTTAAACATAAATAATAGCCAGAAATACAGATTAATAGATTAAAGATTAGGAGGAAGAGAAAGAGAGTGAAAGAGGCGCAAAGTATAGGGTAAACAATATCTTAACGAAACAAAAGGAACGCTGATAGATCACTGATTGATTAATTAGCAATAAGATGTAGAGTGAGCATAGAATATAGTATCAAAGATTGTAGAACACTCGGAGGGGAAAAGTTAACGATCAACAACGTTCAAGGAACGTTCGGATTTGGAAATTTTCTTCGTTTCTATAATCTTTGATAGAATACAGCTTGGATAACTGTTAAAGGGAGCTGAAAAACGAAAAGAAAAAGAAGACCCCCTGAAGATCCCATTGGTTGAGATCTCTTTTAGGCAATTATCTTCCGATATCAACTTCTGAGTAGTGTGTGTAGTGTGTGTAGTGTGTGTGTGTGTGTGTGTGTGTGTGTGTTTGTGTGTGTTTGAGTGTGTTCAATGAAGAATTATCTAACCAATTTTGATGTCCCAGATAAATATACATAGTATTCTACGTTCAAAACTACACACAACATCGACGCAACGAAACGTTTTTTTTTTTTGCTCAAAATATACAATAAAATATACACTCGATCTTTATGCTACACGATTTTGTTAGTAGTAGACACAGCATCCACATTATTATTATTTATCTAATTTTATTATTATAGATATACGATATACGATAGATATACATCAGTTAATGGATAATATAATGCCACTACGGAACCAAAAAGGAAAAAAAGAGCCCACACAAAACGGAACAAACCGAAAAACTACTCGGACCAATAAATGGAGACAAGAGAACTAAGCAACTCAAAGGAGAATTCAACGGGGAGGGGGATCCTTACGGAGAAGGAGAACACTACTTTAGACATTTCTTTTTTTTGGGCGAGAGGCAAAACTTACCGCATCCTGAAAGTAAACGAAAGAAAACAAATCAAAGAACGAAAATCAAAAGGAATCGCAGTTTTACACAGCAAGCGACCTTCGGACAATACCCATCGATCTGAATCGATAATTATCGATAACTCTCTTCGGGGAAGTAGGGACAGCAGGACACTCGGTACAGAAATGATAAAGTGTACATCAAGCCACAGAAAATCATAAAACCCCAACGACCCACCCGTTCGGTGCCCCCCGGACATGCAGGAGCTACGGCAACATAAACAGGAATCAAACCGAAACATAATCGATCTACAGGAACGGAACTCCTCAGCGTTCCAATCAAATCTACCCGAAAGAAAGTGAAACCTACCTTGCGTGAACCCTTCTCCGATACGGCCTGTACACTGCCGACGCCTCCGCCGCCGACGCCGCCGACGCCGCCGCCGCTTGCCTCACAGGTGCTGCCACGTGCCACGCTCAGACCAACGCCCAGACCCACACCGGCACCGCCCACCAATGCATTGGCCGCCGAAGGAAATGAACCGGTGGCAATATTCGAGAACGGCACTGGCTCCGAGAACTTGATCGTGTGCAACAGTTGCATGACCACATTGGAGACATTCCGGAATGACAGCTTCCGCCTGCTACCGATCGCCGAGCGTACGCCCAGAGTGTTGAGCATTAGGGGCTGCGAAAGACAGAAAAAAGAGGAGGGACAACCATTGGTATATTTATGAAAAGGAATGGTACTCCAAATACCTTGCGACGGTGCGGTGGTGGCACTATAAAGAACGTATCCACTCCATGATCGCGCAGATACGAGGATCGCTCGTCGCCGTGTCCTGCCTCCACTTCGTACTCGCCCGACAGCGAATCGAGGGTGGCGCGAGTGACATGCACTCGACCCGGTTCACCGCCCGATTCCATATGATTCGCCAGGGTCACATCGTTGGACCACACATCGAACTGCCACTTCCGGAGGCCCAAGACGCCGCACAGCACGCGGCCAGTGTGGATGCCCACGCGCATATTGAGTATGACATCGGTGGCTTCAACGACAGTGCTGGAAGAGTAGGATCATCTCTCAGTCGTGGAAGGTCTATCTATAAAAAAAAAAACAAAAACTGGGTTCTACTTACGCAATGGCATCGATCATATCGAGTCCCATTTCCACTGCACATTTTGCATGATCCTTGCGGGGCTCTGGCAAACCCGAAACACAATAATAACAATCGCCCAAGATCTTAATGCGCAGGCAATGATTATCCTACGGAGGGGAAATATACATAGGAAAAGATTGTAAATAAATGCGCAGAAGATTAGATATAACTAGTTTCCATTAAAAATCTTTCAAAATATATGCATAATAATCGTTACTTTGATAGGGGGTAAATTTATTGGAAGAGGCTTCTCGTTCCATTTAAACAAGAGATAGATAAACTATACATACATTGGCGCCTGATAAGTAGTCGCCACTTCAGTATTAAAATAAATCGTAACTTTGGAAATAGATGTACTTGTTATTCCATACCTATAGGAACTCGTTACTTTTAAAAGGGTGGCAGTCGTTACTTCAAATTTACTAGCTCATCTTAGTGTTAATCGCTACTTTGATACTTGATACTAAACAAATTCATTTATTTCAATCGATAATTCCACAAGAGATCTGTTATTAAAGGTAATCTTTACTTCTTTACCCAATCGAAAAGGTAATCGCTACTCTGATAGTAGATGAATTGTTGGTTCAATAGAAGAGGAATTCGTTACTTTTATACTTGAGCTATTCGTTGTTTTTTTTTAAATACTAGAGGCAATCGATAATCGATCGTTACTAGTAATTTTATAGATGATAATAACGAGTGAATCATCCAGCCACTACTTACATGTGCCAACTGATCGAATCGCCCAAAGAGCTCGTTGAGCAATCGCACCAACTCCTGAGCACTGCACTGAGACGAGAGGACCGTGAAGCCCACAATGTCCGCAAAGAGAATGCTGACATTCTCATGCTTCTGGATGTAGATGCGATGGAACTGCCCGGCCACCGGCGATAGGATGTCGTTCTTCATCTGCATGGCCACATGCTGAGGCAGGACAGAGAGCAGCAACCGCTCGAGCTTCTCGTTCTCGTCCTGGATCTCCAGACGAGAGGCGATACAGTTGCGCGTGTCGAGGAAGGTCCTTCGCTGGGCCCGCTCCATCATAATGTTGACCACCAGCCCTGCCACATTCACGCCAATGAAGATAACAATATTCGCAATCAGCTGGTTGTACTCCAGGTATCGCAGGGCATCGGTGAAGATCTTGTAGACGGTGAGGCTTATGTGCACTGAGGGCAGGGCGATGCCGAAGGCCACCGCCTCCCAGATCTGCAGCGGCATCATGGCGTATGCCAGAAATACAACGAATACGATCTGCCAGACACCCTCGGCCATCACCTCCTTGGTGTCCACCGGAAAGACGCTGCCCAGCGTCGGCATCGACACCACACAAATGCTGGCCGTAAACAGTAGAATCCCGTAGCACAGTGTCGGCAAATGGTGATCCTTGATCACCGAACATTGCAACAGGATCAGCACCACGGCGAACAGCAAGCAAACGATCGAATTGAAGATGTTCTGTATTTTGCATGGAATTTTATAGATTAGTTTTAAAGATTTTTTGGTTTTTCCTGAAGGTGATTTCTATTTGCAAAGAAGTCTGGAAAATACTCACATGAAAGGTGGCCGCATTGTTGAAGGCCAGCGAGAGGGCCGCCATCACTCCGCATAGCACCACAACGAGTGCAACGACACCGAGCACCGAGAAGCGCTGGAGCTTGAGCGTGTACCGCTGATAGAGGCACTCGAGCTCATCGTTCTCGAAGCGGAGCGTATTGAGCGGGCGGCCGCGCGTTGCCTTCACGGCATGGTCCATGCGGCACCGCTGCCGCCGCCGCTAATGCGGCAGCCTGCACAGCTCCTCCTCCTCCACCACCCTTCGGGCGGGGCAGGCACAAAAAGATTATTCTGCAATAGAGGGAGAGAGAGATGTAGAGAAAGTCCATGAGTGACCTTGAAAATGTATTGTTCATTGGAGAGGAAAATGTGTCGTGTTGTGTCGTGGTCCTCCTCCCCCCCCTCCCCGCCGGCCGTTCCCTTCAACTTTTCACACGCTGAAAATACATGCTAAAAATAATAACCGAAAAGCTGGGGCGTGTGAAATCAATCAATGTTCAGAGACGCCAAAGAACCCCCCGAAAGAAGAGAACAGGAAAGAAACCCAACAGCCCACGCACTTCGGCGTCCGAGAATCTAAGAATCGGTGAATCTCAGAATAGTATTCGCGAGCGTACTTTTCTGTCGGTTTCGATGGTAGATTAATGACGATTTATATGCCGGCAATCCGTTGAAATCATTAAAATATTATGCACAAATTCATTTCGAAATTAGAAATCCGTAATTAGTCGAGCTTTAACGAGTGCTGCTGCTGCAGCAGCAACAGTATGGATCGATGTCTATATTCGGACGCAATGTCCGATGTCCGATGTCCGAGAGCGAGAGACGTTAAATCAATTAGGCATGAAAACATTTATAGACATTCGTCAGCAACGGCAACGGCAACAGCGACGGCGACTCTAGGATTGGGTGTGGATGTGGATGTGGAGTGGGGTTCGGACCGATAGAAGGTGCCATAATGTGTGTTTTTTTTTCATGCAAACCCTTCTTTTTTCGTTTTCTTAATTAATGTCAATCCTCCTTAGCAGTTAGCAGACTTTTACACTGCAATTTGCTTCACTTCATTTCACTCGCGCTTCGGTCCTTCTCGCACTCATTGTCCACACTTGCAATTCCTTTCCATTTCCAGCAGCCAACAACAATGCATGCGCTTGGGAGTGGTTCGCTTTTTTGTGTCGTTTTCTGTTCCTTGGGCGACATGATCGTTCGTGCCGGGCAACGAGACAACACCTCTTCGTTTCATATTACGCGAGCTTCGGTTTGGTCTTCCTCCCACGCAGTGCACACGCTTGCAATTCCACTACTTCGCTCTCTCAGCAGCAGCAGCAAAAATGCGAGCGCAGGGCAGGTAGTCACACTTTGTTGTTGTTGCTGCCATTTATTTTCACGAAATTTGCACAGACACTCCTGCAATTCGTCTCTCTCTCTCTCTCTCTGCGGGCAATTCTTTCCATCATTTATCTATTGCTCTTTATCAGCAGAAACGCATGGGAGTTGTTGTTTGTTGTTCATTGGTGGACACGATCGATCGTGTTGGCAAACGGTTCACCTCTTACCGACTTGTGCTCTCCATACTGCAGCTCCTGCTCATTTGCTCTCTCAGCAACAACAACAATGCGTCCACAGTCGGCTGGATTGCATTTTTGATTCATTGTACAATAGGGCGGGAATTAACGGCATTTGACTTTGCTAAGTAAATTCCCTGTCCCCCTAGCCCCCTCCCACAAACGTGGATTTTGGATTTGGATTTTCTCCTCATGATCTTTGGATGAGCTACTGAATGTCAACAGATGATCTCATAAGTATCATAAGTACATAGATCTGCCCCATCAGCAGATCCCAAGCAGAGAGGGGTACAACGAACTGCCGTGAGAGGATTATTGATCCCCCCGCGTATTCGTTTGTGGCTTGTGTTTGCTCCCCCAAAAACTCACCCAACACTTGAGTACTCATCGACCATACGAATAACACGAACAAGATGAATACAATGAATGTATTCGAATACGAGTAGAAGTACATACATAGAACCCTGCCTGGGTATTTGAACAGTTGCAGCCACCATCCGGACAATTAGATGTCAACAAATATACATATGGTACTATAGCTATGGTTGTATATTTTTGTATTTCAACTTCAGATCTTTCATTCATTCAGTGGGTGTCATGCCGTCACTCAAATGTGAGATGTCTGGATGTCTGATGATTCGTTGGATTATTTTTCGTTGTGTATTTGTTTGAGGGGCTGCTTGTTTGTTTTTGGAGGCGAAACATTTAATATTTTTTCAATGCTGATGTGTGGTGTGCGCATTTGTCGAATTTGCATTTATCGCAGCGACAATTACAAATATAATGAGACGTGAATATTTTCGCAAAATATTGTCGAAAGCCCATGGCTCCAATGTTCCAAAAAAACAAAAAACACAACAAAATTCTATTTTAGGCACGAGGCAAGGCACACAGAGGCTTTTCAGAGAGTTATGCAAGCGCAGGAAAATTCAAATGCGAAATTTTCTTTTTTGCCCAATAAATTGGTTGAATGAATATTTACTGCCTGTTCCCCCCAGCGAGCACTTTGTACGAGTGCGAGTGCGCAATGATGGATGAGAATCGAAAATAAATCGAATGAAAAGATTGCCGTCGTAGAAGGAGCACTTTCCACAGTCTTTTGGCTGTCTCTTGGGGATCATCTCATCTCTAAGTCCACACGCCCACAAAAGATCTCTCTCTCTTTCTCAGGTTTTCTTTTTGGGTGCAAAAACATGACATTTTACTTGTGTGTTTTCCGCTTGTTTTTGTTTCGCCTGATGGACAGTCACCCAAACATTCCCCGCATCCTCCTACGACGACAAAACCACTCGAAAGAGTACAGAGTCCAAAGATGTTCTCTGCCAAAGATACAACGCCCATTCACGCCCTCCCACTAAAGGGGCGGGGCAGCGGTTAAGTTCATTGTCAATCAAATGGGAAGGGCAAAGTTAGGAGCTCTAAAAGCCTTGTCTTTCGACTTTTGGATACCCATTAAACAGTTTTTAGGGGAATCCTTTGGGGCTGCAGCACTCTTTCGTCCAGTCAATATAATTCTTGGCATTCAAGTAGATCTTATCTTTATACACGATTCTGATGAGGCTTTGTCTATCCTTAAAGTGATTACCTTTACCATTATCTATCAGTTCTGGTATATCCACCCTCGACTATATTTTAACTGTACATCTGTACAAATATCCAAATTTTATTTAAATCTATCTCTTACTTATAATTTTGTATTTATCATATTATAATTGTATCTACCATTTATCTCAATGTATTATTTTTCTATCCCTATTTATCATTCTTATAACACGATTTATCTTTTTTCTAACTATTAAACTTTTATCTATCTATAAATTTATCTATCTTTAATAAAATTGTAATTTTTTTTATATTTTTTTTAATGAAAATGTATCTTTATGAACTGTGAATCTATTAACTATCTATCTATCTTGATTTATTTAACTAATTTGTATCTACATACATATGTTATCTCTTATATTTATATATAATTTATTTATTTAAGATTTACATAAATCTTTATGTATCAATTATTCTTTTAGCTCCGTTTCCCCTTAGCCACATCATACCCCTCAAATCCATCACCCCACAAATACAGGGTATACAAAATGCACATCGAATTTTCAGTGCGATTTCTCGTTAGAGAATGTTTGCTCTTTAAATGATTTTTCCATCAATGCTCTCCATCAATTGGCGGCAATTAAGTTTGCAACACTTTTGATGGATTTTGCATTTAATCAACATCATCGTCAACAGTATCATCATCATCATCATGATCATCATTGACAGAGCATCATCATCTTTTGGCTCTCATTCATCATCGTTTTCCCATATAATCAATCAAATTTTCAATTTCCAATTTTCGCTTTCGTCGTTCGTCTGGCGCCCGACAAACAAATTAAGAAAAAGCCATAGAAAAACTAATGCAAAAAGTAAAAGCAACTAAACAGTCGTGAAAAATGACGCAAACACAGAAAATATTTAGCAAAAAGAAAAACACAAGAAAATGGGAAAAAAGTATATATAGAAACGACAACCATATGAAAAGGTTTTTATGGCCCTCCACTAGAGGGATGCGGCAGATTTTCATTTCAAGTTTTTCCAAGGAGCAAAAGCTTCACGTCATTTCTTTGTACAAGATTGGAGCGGAAAACCTTTTGGGTAATTGGTATTTTTATAGAGGTATTTACCCAAAACTAAAGGCACTAAAACCACAGCTAAAACTCTTAATAACAAATAAGCCATAGAAAATGTGTCATAGCATAGGGGTCATCTGTTGTTATAAGGACAGTTTTACACGTTAAAGGCATACAAAGTAATCTTCCCACTATAGGTTTTTCAACAGTGAAGGATTTGATAAAGAAATGTATATCTTTCCATAAAAATACAAAAAAAAGAAGGTCGATCAAAAAAGTTTTGAATGGATAAAAATTGACATGGATGAACGTATGCTCTCCAATGAGGGCTCTCAATGTTTCCATAAGCTAAAGGATACTTTTTAGACATGGAAGTATATTTTTGAGAGGCCAAAGACACCGAAGACTATATAATTAAAAGCTATTCTATGACGTCAGTTTTTATTACTCGCCTGTTGACAGAAGGCCCCCTCTATGATCCTTCTCTGACCGTGGCCCAACACAATACACAGCATCTGGCGAGGCGCAAGATCGGTCCAAAAAATAAAGTATCCCCAGTCTTTGGCTACAAGACGGTCCCCAGGAATCGAAAACAATATACATGGCTTGTGCATGACACAGAAAATTTATGCTAGAGGCGAAGGCTAACCCAACACAGATTTGAAGAACCGGCTACCCACGCGTCCGTGTTTAAAGGCATGGATTTTGTTCGTGATAATATATCTTGGTATTTCAGTGGTCTCCGAATATTATTGGGCATATCGTAGCTAGCTTACGAAATTCCTTAAGAATGGCTTCGAAAAAGAAAGTAAAACCCCCTTCAAAACCTTAGATATCTGTGCAAGCTGCAAAGAACTTTTACAGATTTATTATCCCCAATCCTTAATGGTTTCCACTTTTCAATCCATTGGTCATTCGCCTCCACTCCACCCACAGCTTCGATCAATCATACATAAATATTCACAGCAGCAGACCAGACCCAGAAAACCCAGCGAATATTTGTGTACTGGCAAAATTCTTGTGCACATCCGTAAACACAATTTTCGCTTTAGGAAAATTCTATTAAGAGGAAAATGTAGTTTCCGCAATAACGTTTTCCCTTTAGATT